CATCACCATCATCATCACCATCACCATCATCACCAGCATCATCATCATCACCATCATCACCGTCATCATCATCATCACCATCATCATCATCACCATCATAATCACTCTATGCAACCATCACATCTGGAAGGACATGTGCCACGGTGCCTGTGTGAGGTCAGAGGACAACTGTTCTCTCTTCCCACCTTCATGAGTTTTGAGGTTGGATTCAGGTCACCAGGCTTACACAGCAAGTGCTTTACCCAGTCAGCCACCTCTCTAGCTCTTCAATTTATTTTTTCTTTGTTGCCTATATTTTTGGTATCATATCTATGGAGGTAAAAAGTCAAATCTAGTGTTGCCAGGCTCTTTGGACAGTGTTTTCCTTGAAGAGTTGACACATTCATTTGTGATGCGCTCAGAAAGGCTGAGGTAAATGCCAGTTTTGATAGAGCTCTGGGCTGGCAAAAGCTTTAAAAATTGTTGTTGAACAAAGTCTCTCAAGTGCCTGGATTCTTTGGGTTAATGATTTGTTAAAAATGCAGTGCTCACCAATGAAAACAGTTCCAACTTTGCTCACAGAGTGAAGAAACATCTGTGATGTGATTAATTGCCTTTTAATTTCTCTGAATCTATCTGATTTGTTTAGTCTAGATTCTTGACTATTGAGTTTCTTAAGGTAGGTCACATATCTACATCAAAATATCCATTGCCTTGTACACATCCCAATCGTGTGTGCGGTATAGACCTCAACACACATGGAGGGAGCGGGGTCAGCAGATGAACACGGGGGTGCACATGTGTGTCCACGCCTTCTCCTCCTGCAGTGAGCCTCAGGCTCATTTTCCTTTGTGCACCTCCCTGAACAGGCGGGGCTTGTCCAAATGTGCACACCAAAGGCATTTCATACTTAACTTCCCCGTGACTGCTGGGAGAACAGTGACTTAAAAAAAAAAAAAAAAAGAAAAAAGAATAGCTAAAAGAACTCTCCACTAATACACTTTCTCCACCTGGACTCCGGGTACGCCGTGAACATGCATTTCTGATAGTCGGTGAGCCTTTCTCTCATAACCAAGCAACACCTTCTAAAACCCCAGCCAAGGGATGTTTGGCTTAGCACCTACCGGCTTTGAGTGTTCAATCCATTAAGATGACTCTCTCTAAGCTCAGACACTAATGACAACACCATCTGTAAAACAAAATCAGACGCAGGTCAGCTCACACTGCAGCATGGTTACCTCAGCTCCATCTCTTGCTGTAACACATCCCTTACCATTTCCTCCCCACCTTCACCTCGTGTTTACTTTGCAGAGTGAGCAGAAAGCAGTATCACCTCACACTGACTGCCGCGTGCGTCTCTGCACTGAACATCTGCAATCCCACAGAAGCAAGAGGCACAAATAGGTCCTAGAATTAACACCAAACCCACAGAAAACAGACATACTGGAATTTACTTATCTTCTTCCTTCTTTAGTTCCTTTTTTAAAAATGTGTATGGCTTCCAAAACATCAAAATAGGTGGCAACCATCAAAGTCCTCATTCTCAGAAGAGTGTAATGTATGTGTGAGTGTTTATGCCACAGAGCCTCGATGGGAGCCAGAGGACAACTCTTCAACCTTTATGTGGGAACTGAGGATCAAACTCAGGTTTTCATGACAAGCACTTTCACCTGGGCCATCCTGCCATCCCTTTAGTTAATTTTCTGCTTTGTTTCAGCATAAAATTCAATCGGGTTATTTTAGATATGATATATGCTCAGAAGTGTGGGCTATGTTTATACTAGGAGTGTTCTGGAATCTGAGTGAGTGAAATGTGTTGTGAGAATCCAATGGCACCTCACACCTCCTTCCATGGTCACAGGTCTACCCCAGGTAAGAAACAGACAAAAGTTCTATGGCTCCTTGGAAGAGGAAAGTATCCAGTTTACCCTTCACATAACTGTTGAGAATTTCAATACAAATAAAGTAAGATACTCACATTTTTAAGCAAACTGGGACAGTAATCAACAAGCTCATATCCCAGATTTTCAGCAAAAAGACTGACTTCTTTTAAGTTGAATCTGAACGTGGAAAGTACGTGTGATAACAAACTCTAAAAAACAAAAAGAGAAACAGTCAGCTTCTCCCAAGTGGATGGAGGTGTCTTCGATGGGCAAAGCCTGAAGCCTGCGTCACCTGTAAAGTGCCATGGTTCCTATAAAACCAGTCATTCCCAGATTGATCAATGGAATCAAATCAAGAATCCAGACATAAGTACAAATACCTATGGATACCCGATTTTTAATGGAGCAGCCAGAAATATACAATGGGAAAAAGAAAGCATCTTCAACAAATGTTGATGGATGCAGCATGCAGAAGAATGCAAACAGATCCATATCTATCACCCTGCACAAAACTCAAGTCCATGTGGATCAAAGACCTCAGCATAAAAGCAGACACACTGAACTGAACCTGATGGAAGAGAAAAGTGGGAAATAGCCTTGAACACACTGGCACAGGAGACCACTTCTTGAAACAAAACACCAATGGCAGAGACACTAAGATTGACAATTAATAAAGGAGACCTCGTGAAACTGAATAGTCTCTGTAAGGCAAAGGACACTGTCAATAGGACACCCAGACTTTGCTACCTGAATGCAACAGAGACTCTGGCTGACCTACTAAATCCCTATCAAATACTTTGATGTGCCTGCATACACTGAAGGAAATAAATTCTGATACTAGGGGTCATGCTCAAAAAGGCTCATTTTACTGTTTCGCTGTGAGCAATGCCCGACTACAGGGCTGAGACGGATAAGCTGCATATATGTAAAGATGGGGAGAAATAACAGCGGATGGCAGGACAGAAGTCCCATGTGAATTTCCACGGTGGGCACAGACCCCACCGCGTACATGCTGGATGCCTATGTCTTTACAGTATCTATCAGGGTGCCTGTTTCCATCTCATCATGAAATAGTTCACATCTTCAAAAACAATTAAGGTCACAAGATACACTTCATCAACTGTAAGATTTAGTGACACATTTGAAACACAGAGGCAGCCTCTGTGACGCCCCACCTTCCACCACTCCACAGCTTTCTATCCCAAACGGGAAATTCTGATTCAATCTGGCATGCTCTTTAGAGCCTAGAAGGCACTTTCTCAGAGTAGGTAACATGCACAGAGCTCCAGGCTGCACTAGAACACCACAACTGGAAACCTGAGCCTGGAGACCCAGCCTAGGACCTCAATTTAGATGACTTTACAGAGTTGCTTCAGTAACTCAGTGGCAGGAAGCTACTTCAATCTCTTAAACCACAACAAAACCCAGAGATGTGGCCATTCTGTTGACAGAAATGAACACGCCAGAAGAGAAACACCAGGAACTTAGATGATGAGAGTGGCTTTTGGAGAATGTACCGCACAGGCTCCTTACTAAACACTGCTTGTATGTTATTGCTGTTTTTCTTTCTGTTCAAACTGTGCTGAGAGAAGAAGGTAAACAAGCTGACCACACATCCCTAGGAGAGCTATCTCCAAGTTCGTTTCGTTTCAACTGTTAAGTGCAGGGCCATGAGAACAAGCAGTGCTATGGAAGCCACAGGGAGCTTCTTCTTCCCTTAGAGCTGCTCACACCACATAGAAGGACTCAAGGAACACAGCAAGAAAGCAAGGACACCGAGGCTAGTTCCCCACCGATGTGCCAAGAGGTACTATATAGATAGGAAAGGCCTGTCTATGTCAAAGCCATATGGAGGCGTTCAGGTGTGGCCCAGGCTGGGGAGGTTTGGTTGAGCAGGCTTAGTCTGGACATCAGCAGCTCTGGGTTTAGTATGATAAAGCCAGAAGGAAGGAGGACAGCATTGGAGAGCTTGTCCCCCAATACCAACTCCCTTGAGTTCTGAAGGACAAGGGGGGCTGCTTGCTTGTATGGGTTTGTGGGGTTAGGAGTTCTACACATGAGCTCGTGTAGATGTAGAATTGAACTCTGGTTGTCAGACCTGCATGGCAAATGCCTGTATCCACTGAGCCATATCTCTATTACATCTTTTAATCATAAAACAATTTGCAAAATAAAATTGCATAATTTAATTTCTTCTGTCTGTTTGGTCTATGATTCCCTGATATGAACTGCTACAGAGGAGCTCAGAGGTCCAGCCTCAGATAAGACAGGCAGAAGTCACAAATGCAACATACTGAGTCCTCCCCTGGGCTGACAGGCTCTAAGAAAAAGCTTTAGAGCTGAAATCTCTTACTTAAAAGTAGATTCCATGGGCTGGGGAGAACGCTCAGGGGCTACGCTTCAAGAGGGCCCAGGTTCAACTCCCAGCACCCACATAGTGTCTTACAGCTGTCTGTAACTCCAGCCCAAGGATACCCAATGCCCTCCGGCTTCTGCAGGCACCAGGCACACATGTGGTGCCTAGTCTTAAGACCCTCAGCATATAAAATAAAAATTAAAACTTAAACTTCAGAATTAATTAAGATGGGCCAAGGATGTACTTCAGTGGCAGAGTGCATACTAGAGAACCTGTCAGTTCTCAGTACCAAAACCACCAGCAAAATAAAAATCACCGTTTCTTACTCATAGGAATATCTGTCTTACTGCCACCTAGTGGCAAGATCTTTAAACACAGAACCATGAAAGGCTGCCTGCACTAAGAGGAGAAAGCTCTTTAAAAGGCCAGCTGATCACAGAGGCTGGCAGACTCCACCCTCCTGGGCCAGTCAGTCTCGTAAGAGACTAACCAATAACACAAACCAGTGTCTGCAAGAAGAACATGGAGAAATGACCATGCACTGACAATAAAACGGTGCAAATACTTCAGCCCTGCTCTTTCTAAAGCCTCCAGAGGTCAAAGTGCAGAAACCAACATGACTGCAACAGTGGAAATGCCCGAGTACATATACACCTGCCACAGTGTGCATGCAGAGGTGAGGAGACAGTTTTCCAGAGTCCGCTGTCTCTGGCACAAACTGGGTCCCCAGGATGAAAATCAGATTGTCAAGCTTGGTGGCAAGAGCCTTTACCTCATGACACACCTCACTAGCCCACACACAATGACTTCTGAAAAGACTTACTTTTGTGTATGAGTAGATGCCTGCCTGCATGCATGCATATATGTATGCATGCATGTATGATGTATGTATGCATGTATGCATGTATGATATATGTGCACAATGTGCATGCAAGGTCCCCGGGGGCCAGAAGAGGGCATGAAATCCTTTGGGGTTGGAGTTCTATAGAGGGCTGTGAGCTGCCATGTGGGGGCTGGGAACTTAACCGGGGTCCTCTGCAAATGGTCTTAACCACCCAGCTGCCTCTCTAGCCCCATGCAAAAGGATTTTTAAGCTCCATGTTGATTCATGAAATTAAATTTTAAGAATGAAAGATTTTTGCTACTTGAAGAGCACTGGAAATGCTTACTCTTAAGAAGACAAGTTCTCACAGGTGTCCCCTTGTTCTCACATGTTTTGGTTCCTTCCCACCCTACTGCTGTCGTCTGCACAGCATGTTTATTCCCAGGACAGATTATGAGGGTTAGAACACGCATGGTCAAGGTACAAAGAGGTGTAGGCAGTTTTCCTGTCCTGACCATCTGCTCCCAGATAAGCAACACAGAGGCTGAATATTCCTTATAAACACTTGGCTGCTAGCTCAGGCTTGTTTACCAGCTAACTCGTAACACTTAAATCAACCCATACTTCCTATCTGTGCTTTGCCATGAGGTCTATAGCTTGTTCCCTCATTTTAAACATGTCCTGCTTCCTCGGTGGCTCACTGGTGTCTCCTCTGACTCCACCCTTCCTCCTCTCATCATTCTCAGTTTGGCTTTCCCACCTTACTTTATCCTGTTCAGCTACTGGCAGGTCAGCTTGTTTATTAAACCAACCACAGTGACATATATTCACATGGCATACAGAAGGGTAATTCCACAGCAAACTGTGGGGCTCACTCAAACAAAGGACTAGTAGACCCAAACTGTGGTCCATAATCCTGAACCAAGACAAAGCACATATTTATGCTTTTATAAAACAAATTCTGTGTCTATCATTAAAATCTTTTAGGATATCTACCACTGTATTCTCCATTGCTCATGTCTCTTCATTCATGTTTTAGGATGTTTTATTCGTTCATTCAGCAAACAGACACTGATAGGATAAACCCCCCAGACTGTGATGGGCAGCAGACAGGAGCAGTAGGTGGTGTAAAGCTAAGACGCTCTATCAGTTTCTGTGCAAACAGAAGGAGAAAGCACTTCACAGTGATGACATCTGAGCCAGCTCATGCCACGGCGTGGGGGGGGGGTGTTGGGGGGAAGCAAGAAAATATCCAGATATCCAGGAGTGGTGTGGGCCTGAACAGTGCAAGGGAAACATGACTGAGCAGGAGAAAGAAAGAGCCGGCACTGAGCACATGGTCATGGTCATGGCCTGGCACTGTGGCCGCTGCTCTCACCTGTTCCTGAGCATAGGCCCACCCTACCCACCTGGCCAAACTTAACTTTCTAACTGATTCATCTGGCCCTAACATTTCTGTTTCTCCCAAGGAACCCAACAGGATTCCTGCCTGTCTCTGGCTGTCAAAAATTACCCTAATCACTCAAAACCCATTTTTTTCTCTGATATTTCAACTGGATATAAGATCCTTGTTCTCCTAGAGCCTCCATGGGGTCCTACTTGCACTCCTGTCTAGAAGCCTGCAATACTGTTTGTTGGTATTGCTGGTCTGTTTGCTTGTTTTTCAAGACAGAGTTTCTCTGTGTAGCCCTGGTTGTCCTGGAGCTTGCTCTGGACCACGATGGCCTTGAACTCAGAGATCCTCTTTCCTGAGCAAATGCAAGCTCTGCTCACACAGTGAGTACTTGCTGAGTCAAATTCCACAGGAAACAAGACTCCAACTCTTACAAGCTTCCTTTGTGACCTTTTTTTCCACCACAAGAACAAGAGAAGTTCTGGGTTTTGGGCTATTTGTACACTGTGTGAAGATGTATTGTTGTGACTGGTATAACAAAAGCTAAACGACAGAGTGGGGGTAGTAATAGGTGGGACTTCCAGGCATAGAGAGATCGAGAGAAAGGAAAGGGAGAAGAAATCTAGGTGGGCAAGAT